GTAAGGTGTCTGTGTATATCACTGCAGCCAGTCCACCTGACGTAAAAACAAAATCTGATTCAAATTCAATAAAGATAACAACCTGGTATATTCTTATGTAACTGTTCCTTTGTCACAGATCTTGCAAAACTTATATTCATGTTGTGGCTTACGTGCAGCCTTGAAAGGAATACAAACTCTTTTACGGTGTAATTTACATAGATAAGAACTATTTGATTCTTATTTTATGATGGACACTTTTAAATCAGAGATGGAAGTGGTTTTCCTCTTTAGGACAGACCTGTGACGGTGTACAGTGCAGTTATTGCTAGTAGAGCGATAACGGCAACATAGATATTCAACCCAAGAGCCTGTTGGATGAAAATGGCACCGGAGAAAATATCGGCCTGAAACAAACAGAAACAACATGGTATGTGAAGAAGTCTTTCATTTTCTTCAAAATGAAGGGTTTTTGAGGCAGTCACACAATCTTACAGAGATCTGAGTGAAGGCGTACAAGAGGAGGGACAGCACAGAATGATAGATGCGAATGCGCTTTCCTCCGAACCTCTTCTTCAGGTATTCAGGCATGGTAATCACCTAGACAAATATAAAAATTAGACGTTGCCTTTTCAAGGCTCAATAATTGTGATAATTAGTGAGATCTGGTTCTTCTTCTTCACCCCGGCCTTGATGTAGATCGGTACAAAGACCCATCCCAGAATTACAACAAGAATAAGTGCCTGAAACACACAAAACAAGTTTCCAGCTTTAATTTCAGCTTCTGCAAACCACATCAACTATTTACTATGAGTTTATTTTTTATGCTACCACACTTAAACAATTACTCACATTCCATTCAAATCCAGCAATAGCTATCCCAGAAGCTGCTGCTGTTCCGGTAAGGCCTACAAAGTGGACGCTGCCGATGTTGCTGGCAAAGAGGGACGCTCCAATCTATGGACAGTTTAGAAAAATGTTATATTTTACAATAACTGAAAATGTCATTTAACACTGTAGATTCTGTTATTCAAGGAAACACCGGTGATAAGCAGAACAGGGGACTAAATTGAGTCACCTTGTTTTCTGCAATCTTATCTCAAAGGAAGTTGAGGGGTTCACTTTTCTTTGCCATCTTGAGTCCCTTTTGATGCTTCTGATCCTTTTCATCATACTTAATACATATCTATTTATACAGACGCCAAGCACACCTTTGCTAGTCACATCCTGTGCTTAGGGATTTGGCGACGCATGAAAAGCAACCGGCCTGTAGTTTTTGTGTTCTTGAACATTCTGACTGTTTTGTTTAAATGTTCACATACTGTATTTATTGAAAGACAGATTTTTGTGAATGGTTTAAACATAAGCTCATCAACTGCTCTGTCTGACAATAAAATAATTGGATTCTTATTACAAGATGAAAACATAAAACAAGTCAATGAGTGCAGGAATCACAACATGCTTGTTGCAAAGCAACTACAACAGTGATGAAACAGAAAACAAACTCAAGCTGCATGAAATAATAATTTGCTTTCTGATTTCTTCCATCTCTGACATTGCAGTAAATTAAGTTTTTGTCCAATCTTGTTCATGAATCAGTGTATTGAGCCTTAAGAGACATGAGATTGGTTGTAATGTTTAATAACCGCTGGACATGTAAGGAGTTAATTTAAATGTGTAAATGACTGATGGTGCTACTATGAGATGAGGAGTTTCATGTTTACTCTGCTGGTCTGTATGTGTACACAGTATTAGTATGTGGAAGATTGGAAGGCAGACATTTTCCATTACGCCCAGTGGCCCTGACTGTTCTTTGATTTCTTTCCCCATCCTGTTTAGCTTAAGGTGTAGTTGCTGCTTCCTGCCTGATGACTTCACTGTGGGAACTGGGGGCAGTAATGTTGAATGTAAAAACCTGACTGGAAAAAAAAAAGCAAAATTTATAATAGCATTTAGCAAATAGAAATAATTTTGCATCTCCTAGCTGACCTAAGACATAAAAAATTTGTCTGATTTAATCCAAAGTATTGAGAAAAAAACGTGCAAATAGTCTCAAATGTAAATATATTGACAGATGTAGAGAGAAGTGGATCTCTGTAAGTTAAGCAGTTTGCTTATTCTGAGTAAGATACCCACCGGCAACCATACCATGCGCCTCCCTGCAAAGAAGAACCCTCCCACAGTGGCTCGATTGGTGCGGACCATAGCCTGAAAGAAAAACAGAAAATATATAAATTGCTGCAAAATATTACATTGCTCTATGATAACCAAAGGTGTCTGTGTTTTACATTCAGCAGATAGACTGACAGGGAATATCAAATCTTTCTCACAACTCCTCAAAAACTGACTCAAATTGGGATGCTGTAATCTTAAATCACTGGTGTTTCTATTGCATGTCTGATTCCTGCTCTGCTCTGATGTTTCTAAATTTACACTTGTGTATTTTTTTTCCAGCCTAAATTGTCCTGATTCAAATGAAATTCAGTCGGATACAAAAACAGCCAAATATAGACTATTTTATATTTAATTTTCAAACAGGTACATCTTTTCATGTTTCTTAAACAATGCAAAATAATTATTTATCTTAAAAAAAAAAGAAGAAAAGAAAGTAGATCACAGCGACCAATACTGAAAAAGCTTAATTTGCAAAACTTACCCCTAGTCCCACAGCCAAGACAACCAAAAAGTATATGACAATAACAGAGATGTCTGCTGCATTGTTAATACCCCCTGTTTGGGTTTCATTTCTCTGCCTTTTTGTGACACTAGCGAATCCAAAATAATCCCAGGTCATTTTTCTTCAAATGAAAAATGGATGCCGCTGCCTGCTGACATCATTTCACTATGATTGAAACAATGGCACAGCACCTTTATATCTTTTGTGTTTGCATGTGAAACAGAAGGTGAGAGAGGGAGGGCAGGTCGTGTGATGTGGGTTAATGTGTGTGTTGTTCTCCACAAATAAACTCTGCTTCTAATGTGGATAATCATCAGTCTTCAACAAAAGCCACTGTAGGCTGCCATTGGTTTTGGTAAAGCTAATTTTTCTATTTTGACCTTGAAACAATTTCATACATTGTCCAGATTAAAAGTACATTAAGAGTACATAAAAAATGTTATGTAGAAAGGGGGTTGCACTATAAATGTAAAACTTCACAGCTTTCCCAGAAAGGAAGGAATAAAGACAAAAAAATGTATTAGATTTTTTAAATATATATATAACATCTGAAAGTTGGGACATGAAGTGAATGAAGAAGAGCAATAAAAAAATAGTCACATTAATAATCATTTTATTGAAGTTTATTGTTTGTGTTTTACTCTGAACATTGCCTTAAAGGACTGTGATACAAAAGTGTAAATAGGCAAATAGCTTTTAGCCTTTCCTTCACCCTGTTTTAGTAGGATTTAACACTACTGATAAACATCTATTTTTAGCAATCTGTTAATAAGTAGCTTCTGGGATGATGGGGGACATAGAGCAATAAAAGAAATACAAATCCTTTTATAGCTTCTAATCTACGTATCTAATTCAGACAGGAGATGCTGAAAATTTCCACATGAGACCAAATCATACGACCAGCAATGCAGAGTTTAGATTGTTTACAGACATGGACAATTGAGATGAAAAGAAAGCAGACCATGATACATCTTTTTGCTGTCATAATTGGTAATTATTTAAAGCCCAAATGCAGGAATGAGGTAGATTGAGGTTTACAAGAAACTGATATTGTTTGCACATGTTTGTGGGATTTCATGGTGCATCGGCGTAAGAATAAAATAGTTCTAAAAAGTAAATGGTAAAGCATATATTTGCATTTAGTAGAATATATTTATATCTACTATAAATATATCTTGCCCTACTATGATCAGATTTAAACAATTTAAAGTTCCCCACGGACAGTAATTTACTCTTCAGACCACTAGGTGGAAGCAAAGTAAGCGTTTTATTGCTTGGAGTATTTCCTAACTCTTTCTAAATGAATTGTTTTTATTTCATAAACACATCTCAGTGCATAGAAAAGAAGTGATTACATTCATGGACTTTGAACAAATAAAACGACAAACAGCTGGCATTTATTGAGGCAGCACAGGGGTACTTCCTGAGCACATTTACTATCATTTCGTTCGTCCTTCACTGGTTAAATATTACAGTTTTTTTCCTGTTTTTTTTTTTTTTGTTATGCTGTTTGTATTTTATTAAACCTTCATGCAGCGTCCAGTGTTACATAATCCATTCATATATACATGTGAGAGTTCTTGACAATAAAAAAAGCATTTATACATTCATTGATAAACACCTTGAGCATTTTTTTAAATAATGACAATTAAGAGTACATGTGCATTTTTAAAATGTTATTCTTAGTGCAACGTTGAACAATGTTAAGAAAATAAACAGGAGCCAACTTGAAGCTCATTATTATTTCTGAGCTTTTCTCAAAATCAGTCCAACTCTTTTGAACAAAACCAATAACAAAAACAAACATTGAGATGTGCAGTCATCTGGGAATATCTACAAATTTACAATAATCTTATATGTTCCTCTGGTCTGTCATGACAAAAAAAGGGCCGAGCCCAAAAAGTTCTTGATTTACCAGAAAGCCTAAATTTGAGCCCTCATCTATGACCAACATGTATAAATCATGACAGAAAGAACAACAGAAATTGGGTACCTTAGATTGTCAAAGTCACCCTCTGAAATAAAAAATAGACAAGCTCTGTCTCCAGAGATAATTACTTATGAAAAGTAGACAGCTGATTGTTCAACCATCTGATCAAGAGTCTTCTTAGAGGTTTTCCACACATGTCAAACAGGAAGGGGTGGATGTTGTGACAAATGTTTGAGTATTACATTTATATCCTTTTAACAAGTTTTATGTGTATGATATGACTTGATTCACTGGTTTACTAAAAATGATAAATATAGTAAAAATGCTTTTTTGTCTTGTGTGGTATCAGTACTCAACTTACAATGCAGTCTGAAATATAGAGTTCAGAGATTTGAAAGTACCTTAGGTTGTATCAGAGAGTTATTTTGGTCATACTTTATATTATGGTTTCCACTGTTACTAAAAATATAGTATATTTAGGAGTATTTAATGCTGAGCTTCTCTAACCAAAGTATCCATGGAAGAACACAGCCACAGCCAGGAGAATGATAGCATTTGCATTAACAACGTTCCTCCAGAGAGGTTCTTCTGTTGTATCCGTCAGCTTCCTCTTCATCTCTGCCTCCTCCTCTTTAGTCATTTTTGGTCCTTTTGTCTTCTCCAATCCACAGAAGCACATTATTGCTTTCTTGCAGAATCCTGGTTCCTCCTCAGGTTCTGGAATAAAGGTTAAAACATTTTGTTTTGTTTTTTTTAATAAAAAAAGAACAAAAAAAAAACAATAAAAGAATAGACTATTTACATTTTTCAAACATTTCTAAGCAAAATTCAGAAGATCCATTATTTCCAGAGCTTAAAAACCTTGCAATTTATAAACTAACAATACTTTAAACATAAATCTAACTTATCATCACCTTCCATCTTCTTTTCATCCTCCTCATAATTAACCCAGTCATCTTGTTCAAGGTCAACTCTCTCCTCAGTACTGTCCCTCAGACTCCAACACAGTCTATGCAACTGAAAAAATAAAAAATACATTATGTGTAGAAATTTTATAACTGCATATTTTGATCAGATTGAATAATAGCAATGATAGAAATGTTATCTGGTGATGTAAGCCAGGATAACAGTATCAACCACAAAACAAAAGCAAAATACATTGTGAAGATGCTGCTCGAAATTGATGACAAGTCCTATGACAAGACATTGCACCAAAAACAATATCATCCAGAATGATATTCAAGCAAATATCATTCTGGATGCACTCTACACTGTAGTACATGTGTAAAATTATAATAAAATGTTAAATTTTTAAATTAAATAACATGGCTATGAGAGTTATTTTTCAAGTCAGCAATTACCGATAGATCAAAACCGACTTTATCTTGCTTCGGTCACTTACATGCTTATCGTCGATGGGTTTGGTTATGAGAGAGACTCCAATTATGACGATGCAGGTGATAGTAAACAGGATAAGCCCAAAGTACAGGTAGTGCACGCCACATATGACAGTAGGACAATCGCTAGGGCTAACACAGTTCCCAGTCCCATAGGCAAACTCAGCTATCATCCTGGTCAGACCCACAATCAGACCAGCGATGAGTCCATAAAAGGCACCCTTTCAGGAAAAATAGAGAAAAAAATAAAGTTAGGAGGATCACACTTTGAAAATAAGACAAGAAATAATACAAACTTCTGTTTGAGATTTGACATGAAAAAATAAATATTGCTGTTGTTTGGGAATGATAAATTGTAGTTGCTCAGTGGATGTCCATAAAATTAGGTTGATTTTATTTGCATCGAATATTGTTTGATTCAATATTCTGCTGAAGGGTATTGTGAGTATCAAACACACTTGGGTTAAATAAACTGCTTGTTACCAGCCTATTGCAGAGCTGAATGAAAGTGAGAGAATTCAAGCATTCTGGAGCAGAGATGCTCCAAAAGTTGCAGGATGGTAGCCTTTCATGACTGGATTTGGGGACCAGGGGTTTAGATTATTCCACATCTATTTATCATAACGGCATAGAATAGCACTTGTGCTTTGATTTAGCAAAACATTGTAAGCTGGTTCCAAATAAGTCTCAAAATTCCCAAGACAAAGTTTATTATCAACAATAACTTTTCAAAATCAGAAGCAAACTCACAGCTTCGTTGACCCGCTTGCAAAAGATGGCGAGAAGGAAGACAGCAGAAATAGGTGGAGCGAGATAGCTGATGATTGACTGGATGTAGTCAAAGAGCTGACCACTCTGGGCTGACTGCACCACTGGGATCCAGGCTATGCTCACACCAATGAGGAACACAATAAACACCCTGCACAGTTGAGTACAAACACACAGTTATTATAAATGTCACAAATACAAACAGTATTCAAATTAAACACAGACTAAACAGTTTTACCTGCCAGCAATCATCAGTTCCCTCTCTTTGGCACGAGGACGGACCTTAGTATAAATGTCCATGGTGAAGAGAGTACTAGCACTGTTAAATATTGAAGTGAGGGAGCTCATTAGAGAGGCCAGCATCACTGACAGCATCAAACCCCTCAGGCCTGAAGAGAGATAGACAAAGGTGAAGGAAAACATAAAGAAACAAAAGTGTTGATTCAAATTCAAAGACAATGTTGTTGATCCACTCACCATTTGGCATAATTTCCACAACCAATTTGGGATAAGCAATGTTTGTGCATGCCACACTAGAGCCACAGTATTTTTGACATTCGTCTGGGTCCACACATGCCACCACATCTGGATTAAGTTAAAATTAAAGAGACGTAGGTTAGGTATTATGTATTATTTCTGACAGCAGGTTTGCATTATTCCAAACAAGAGACTTCAAAACCTCACACACCTGGATAGAGGATCCTGCTTATCATCCCAGGAAAGACCATGAGAAACATGGGCAACAGCTTCAGATAGGCACATAAAATGCAACCTGCTTTCACATGAGAGAGATTCTTGGCTGAAAGGCAACGTTGAACAATCACCTAGAGAAAAAGATACAGCTTTTGTCATAAGTGCAAAAGATTACAAGATTCAAATGTATTTACAATAAATGTCATTAGTGTTGCAACTGAAGCATCACATCCTATTTCAAATATCTTTGCTAAAGTCATAATAAAAGCCCATTGAAGTAATATATATTGTGGCTCTGCAATGAGGGGATGAGGGGTCCAACCAACATGTTGGTGTTTATAAATCACAATCCCTCACTTTAACTTTTACATTCAGTTCAAAGTGAAAAAAATAGCATGCAAACTTAAGCCAACTGTACCAAATTTATCAGATCAAATCAAGTTTGCAAAATATGTGTGAAGGATTTTCTTGACTATCAGCTGGCAACCTCTGACCTGCTCAGTAATTCTGTCTTAAAAAGGTAAGATAAAAAGAGTGTAAACAAATGAACTTTCAGATTTTATGGCCTTTTATAGTTTGTGCTATGCAGTAAAACCAGTTACTGAGTCAGAAGACGTAAAACTTCCACATAGTCAAAAGTGGTGATCATTACCAACCTGATCAGTGCACCAGTACCAGATGGTCTGAACGGTGAGTCCAAATGTAAGTGCAGGCCAGGGGAGGTCTCCATTTATTGGGTCCCTGAACAGGTGGAAGGCGTCTTCCCGAGGCTGGTAGCACTCTGCGCTGATGTTACCGGTGATTGAGGGAACTGAAGCCATGTACCTGTCCTTCATATTTTCATAGCCTCCCACTTTGTTGAAAGCTGAGGATGCATGAAGGTTAGACTGAAGTTTATACTTCAGGTTCTCAACAATATGACAATAAAACAAATATGGGAACAAAGTCAAATTTTAAATAATGATTACTATTTATTACCAAAACCCATGAGAATGAAGGATCCAATAAGCATGATGACGGTCTGTAAGGTGTCTGTGTACATCACTGCAGCCAGTCCACCTGAGATAAAACATGACGTTTGAAACCTGTCATTTTTTTCATAGTACTATTTGAGAGATTTTATTTTTATGGAGATGTTCTTAAACCGCTTGTCTTTTAAAAGAGATTCAGTTGCATTACATAGTGCAAATCAGCAACTGAGCACCATTTCAGTACTTGCTGTAGTCTATGAGTGTCTCACAGACACTTTAGAGAAATAAGCAGAAACTAGACAGGGGAGCTGGGTTAACGTGACTTTGTTTTTAAATCTCTGCAGTACATGTGGCCTTGAGAAGACTTTCTCCTCCGTATGCAATTTTGCTTTGATAAGACTTCTTTGTTGGCCAAGTTTATGAGGAAGATGATGATCCATAAAAAGGAAGTGAATTTCTTCCTGAGGATGCACCTGTGATGGTGTACAGCGCAGTAATTGCCAGTAGAGCGATAACAGCAACGTAGATGTTCAGACCAAGAGCCAGCTGGATGAAAATGGCTCCAGAGAACATGTCGGCCTGGAAGGAGACACACACACAGCATTTGACTTTGATTGTATTTCATTGTTGAAAACAGGAAGGTTTTAGTCAACAGCTACACAAACTTACAGAGATCTTAGTGAAAGCGTACAGCAAGAGGGAGAGCACGGAGAGATAAATACGAATACGCTGTCCTCCGAACCTCTTCTTCAGATACTCGGGCATGGTGACCACCTAGATACACACATAGCGATGATACTTTGCTTCTTATAGCCTCAAAGTTTGAAAATCATAACACTTTTATTGTAAATGGAAAATACACTCATGTGTCAACTTGTTAGGTATGCATCTATGCAACAGTAACTAAAAAACAACTATTTGTAGATACAACATATATATGTAGAGATTCTAGATATGACAAGGTATCAAGAATACCTTCTTTGAACGCACAGGATGTCAGTCCTTGAACCACATGGGCAACAACAACAGAGGAACACCCTGTGCACCACTGCTGTCTGCTAATAACTAGAAACTGAGGCTACATTTTACACATGGACACCAAAATATGAAAATAATACTGTGACTGACTAATCTAGATATTTAGCATGAACATTCAGATAGTATGGATCCCTTAAGACTTCTATTGAACTAGATGTGCTGGATATTTTCTTGGTAGACTATTGGTCCCCTTAAAAGCCACAGTCTTAGTATTGTGGTCTTTATGACTACAATAAGCCCATCTTCTGAAGGTTACTTCCAGCAGGATAGTGCAAAATGTTGCACAGCTCAAATGAAGTTAAGCTGGTCTCAGATTCACATAAACTGCATGAGGCAATTATATCACTTTCGACAAACATCAAGGAGGAATACTTCAGACATCTTTTTTGATCTATGCCAAAACAAAAATCCTTTTGAAGGCAAATGTTGCTCTGACCCTTGATAATTGTCAAGGCATACCAAACAAAGTGTTCATAGCTTACCCCTGCCTTGATGTAGATTGGTACAAACAGCCATCCGAGAATGACCATAAGAACGAGAGCCTGCAACACACAGAAATACAAGACACATTGAATACATTAGAACAAGAATTTGTACTTAACTTTTACAAATAGAAATTTGCATTGCCCTGTAAACTTTAAGGTCCCCTCTGAGGGGGAACTTCTGTACTTGTGTTAGTGACAAAGAAGGATTACTCACGTTCCATTCAAATCCACAGATGGCAATGCCAGCAGCAGCAGCAGTACCAGCAATCCCTACAAAGTGGACGCTGCCAATGTTGCTAGCAAAGAGTGAGGCGCCGATCTGTGCAGAACATCACAGAAAAAATACATTGAAAAACGATATACTGAAGTGAAAGCGTGAGATAAATTGGAGAGAACAATGTATTTTAGATCTATCAAAGGAACTAACAATAAATAAATTAGAATAATTTAGAATTAGATAATGCATGATGCTGTATCTTATCAATGTGCACAGTAGAAAACGCAAATACTTTTCTGTACTAACTTTATGAATCATAACAAAAATCTAATTCTAACAATTAGGTGAGAATAGAAGCAGATGAACAGATTTTAAAAACACTTTTCTCATTGCAACAGTTAAAAGTAGGGTTGATGGTTATATAGTAAGTTTTCAGGATAATCATGCTTCTTACCACTGAGTAAAGAGAGTTAAAACGTTTCTTTGGGAAAGGTGGAAACACTCTCAATCCATTTCAAAATCTGTGTTGGAAATCAGACAAGTGTATGCCGTGGTGGTTTCAGTATGAATGACTCTTGGGTAAAAGACTCAATCTGCTGGTTCACGAACAACTAAAATGCAAGATTTTGAAGCATGATGCAAAGTCCCATTGGAAAGAATATAATATAATCCCAATATTCTGAACCAACACAAAGCAGTGGCATTTATCAATTAATTTATACCTAAGTTAAATTAACAAAACTGATTAATAGGTTATACTTTATTGTCTTGTGCTTGGATGCCTCTCTTTCTCATACCTCCCTGTGCAATTGCCCATACAGCCTGTTTGCCTGACAACAAACCTTTCAAAGCTGATATATAAACTGATTTATGAGAATATTGCAATCTGATTGACAAAGAAAATTATTATTATTCAGTAAAGTTCATGTTGTTATTCAGAAAAAGAAAAAGTAGGGATCATCCAGCATTTGCCTTCACTCAATTTGAAATAAAGATGTATCAATATTTACATTAATATTTACCTGTTAAAAAGCAAATTTTGCATCATGTCTGTTTATAACAAACAGTGAACAGACAGAATATTGCCAATGAGAAGATATTCCTGTTTTGTATTAGCCTTATCTTTACAAAGACATGGATTCCTTTAGTTTCCTGACTCTGTATAAACAATCTGACTGGGATTTTATCCAGTAAGAGTAAACAGAGTGGTTCAGGGTGTTGTTCTGTTCATCTCAGGCTGTAGGTTATTAAATAAACAACCCAGTGAGGATCAGATACTTACTAACTATACCATTGGTAGGCATAATAAAAAAAGCACTTTGTCTGTGCAGATCTAATTTTAATCTTATCTTGTATTAAGATACCCACCGGCCACCACACCATACTCCTCCCTGCGAGGAAGAAGCCACCCACAGTGGATCGATTGGTGCGCACCATAGCCTGCAGCAAAAAAAAAAAGCAGAATAGCTTAGCCAATCCAAAAATCTGAGCAAGAGATGCCCTAGCTCTAGTTAAAATCAAATTGCTTCACAAAACTCTGTGCGTCTCAAGTTCTTTGCCTCCAAATTCTCTGATCTGACAAACATTTTTACTGCTTCAGCATGTGAAGTTGGATTCAGAATTTTTAAAAAACATATGTCCACTGGCTAGAGATATTTGTTTTACAAATTTCTCTAATATAAATAAAGTAAGTCTGACATGTAACACTCATAAATGTAGTTAAGGTGTAGAGAAGAATAACTAAAAGGTTTCTTTTTACTCAAATAAAACTGTAGAAAAGCCACATAAAATCATAACAATAACCCAACCATGAATACTTTATAAAACTCACCCATACTCCCACAAGCAGGACAACTGCAAAGTAAACAACAATAACGGAGATGTCTGCTGCATTATTGAGAGCCGATCCAGTTGAATTTTCCTTGTTTCTCTTGATGCGGGAAAATCCAAAATAATCCCAAGACATTTTGCTCAGAGTGGGTGTCCAATAAAGGTGTGTTACTGGAGTCTGTCCTCAGTGACTGCAACACGTGCATGACACTTACCTTTATATCTTTTATGTTTGTGTGTGTGACAGAAAGAGGGAGGGTTAATTGATAATGGGTTTATGTGTGTGTTCTGTGCTGCACAAAGTATCAATGTCATCTAAAAGTGAAACTCCAGTTTTTCCATCTTTTTGCTGTTGAGTCTTCCATAAGTTTTTGTGTGTGTTTTTATTATTATCTATCAAACCGATCAATTGATTGAACAAATTTGCATAGCGCTCCACTTTCTGATCTTTCTATGAAATCAATTACCCCAGTATAGATCCTACAAAATTCAGCTGCAAGAGGGGCAAGTATGACATTTGACATCACTCTGAGTATGAAGTTGCTTCACTGACTACTTGTACTCTTTAAATTGATTTTTTTTGTATTTTTATTTGATACTTTTAATACAAACTATTGATCTGATTACTTTACAATCTGTCTGAACTTCTAAGGTCTTCAGAGAAAAGTAATCTGTCCCTACACGTGGTGAAAACTAAACAGATGCTGAGGCATCATTAATTAATCACGACTCTCTCTTTTGTAGTAGTCTGTCTGAGCACCTGGGGGCAGCTTAGAGCGTTGATGTTTCTGAAAGTAAACTAGAAACCAAAGTTTTGAAGCATGTTTTTTTTTCTCTTTTTATTGATTGATTTTTTTGCAGCTCAGGAATTCAAGTTTTTGTTTTAGTCTAAGTCTCTATAAAATTTTAACTCTGGTTATTTATCCATGGATAATCATATTTTCAAATTGTTTTGGGTGCCTTAAATATTATTGAACTTTTTTTAAAAGAGTTTGTAGCATTTGTAGCCTTTATTTGCAACAGGAAGCAGTGCAGAGACAGAGGAGGTGGACAGGAATCAAATCTTGGTCAGCTGCATTAGGCACCATAGCCTCTGTAAGCGGTGATCCACCACTAAGACAATTTTTAGTTATTAATTTGTATTATTTTTTTATTTTTATGTGCCTCATGGTTAACAATTTTCTATTGTTGTATGTAATTTCAGATTTATTCTTTTACTGTTTCGTCATTCACACCTGAGATTCGATTTGCTCAGATTTTATATAATCTTTTAATCTAGTTGATTTATTGTTATTATTCTATTACTATTTTTTTTGTCTGTTTTATTATTGATTCCTGTTTGTATGCTTGTTTTTTGTGTTACACCTGTAAAGCTCTCTCTGTTGTTGAATATATAAAATGTTTTTTTTATGAATTTAATTAATTTGTTGATTTATGATAAGTGTCAATTTTTCTTGGCTGGAGCTATAATCCCCAATCAAAAGTAGTTACATAACCTGACCTTGATTAAATGTACATTTTCTTTATATCAAATGAAATTTTGAACAGGTATAGTAAATAATTACCTTTATCTCCAAAAACCTTAGAGATAATGTGCTGAAAAATGATTAAAATGTACATTTTTGCAGCTTAATTAACACAAAGTTGCATGGTTTCTTTTTTTATTATTATTTTACTTGTTCCAGAATTGTATTTCATATGTAATGAGGTTCTCACAATTTCTCCATCAAAAATAGCCAAGTCAAGATTTTGTCTTGCTGTCTGTCATGTTTGTGAAATTTGACTTATCGAATTGCAAAAGGTAAACTGAATAACTTTGTGAAAACTGTTTTTGATCTACACGTTTGCTAAAGAAAGCTCGACTTTATCTCAAACAGTAAGACAAACAAAAAGCACTTAAATTAATTTTCACTCCGCTACACAAACAGTTTATGTTCCTAATAATAATGTATTTCTTATCAGCTTGTTAATAATTACTCTTAGGAAGAATGATACAGGGCCAAATCAAAGAAAAGTAACCCTTGCCTGCAATAATTCATGAAATTATGAGACAGTTGGAGACCCTGGAGTATTTCAAGGCTGTTGTTAATTTAACCTTAAAAATCAATTGAAATACATATATGGAATAATATAAAAACAACATTAAATTAAGCAACAAAACAGACTCATTTTCTGTACATGTTAATAAAGGTTACAGCCGTAATCAGAACTTATAAAATAGTACTTTTGTCATGTAAATGTATTTTGTAGATGTTGCATAAACCAGCCTCTAGATGTCTCTGCTGTACCACAAACCCACTCTGACTCTAAACCAGGCGTGCCCATGTCCAGTCCATGTACTCATCCCTTCTCCATCAAACCTGAAACAAATCCTCAACCTTTCTTTAATGTCTTCTGATGCAGCACTTTATGAACAACCAGCTTCTTCAATAACTTGTGGATTACCATTCCGATGCAGTGACTGCAGTCAGGGTAGCAGTTTTTGTGTTGGCTGTAAGATGATTTCTGAATTAAGAATATTTTTTTTATTGGTTGGAGTAATGTGCATTTTTTTTCTTAGACTCATTTGCTTCAAGTCATGATCATCAAAATTACCAAAAATAAACAATTGAAATATATTAATATAATCTACATAATTTCACTTCAAAAATAGTCAACTTTGCTGAGATCTATGTCTACAATTCAAGCAGAAATCAAGTGAAACTAAAGCTATTTAATTAATTTTAATTAAGAAAAACCCTGATATATGGAGTAATTTTAAACATACATCAAATGCTTCAAGTCATGCAGAGCCAAAGGTTGCTTTTTTATATTTTCCAGGTCTGCAACACCAAAGAAAAACAAAATAAATGCCACAATACATCAGCCAGAGCTATGTGGACAGGAAGACTCAGACTGGGGAGTTATCTGACTGTTCTTGTTACAAATGGCCGCTTAAAATCTCTAAATGGGGACAATCAATATGCAGCTGAATGAGAATCAATCACTGGAATGAGGCCATACTCTTCGAGGATTAGTGCTTGGATGAATCTGTTGGATTTAATCCTGATTTCCAACCTAACAAGATCTTCCAGTAAGTGCTAATGGGAAATTATGTTGCCAATGGTTTGGTTTTTGTTTTGTTTTAGTTTTACTTTGTTAGAGATTCAAATCCAACCAAAAGAGTCACAAAAAGCACATTACAGAGCTGATCATTTCCCAGTAGTGGGACACAAAAGATAAACAAGTTGCATGGTCCATCTGGTTTTGGGTATCTTACGAGCATCTTTCTGTGTCTAATATTTGTCAGATAAAAAAATTGTGCAGATAACTTGGCACGATAGTGGAGTCTTCTAAGACAGACTGATAGGAGGGAGCCATTTTGTGACTGCATATTCTGTACTATAGGTTTATATTGCTTTATTTATACACTTGAGTTGAATGAAAGAAAACAATTTCCTAATAATATCTAACATAATGTAAAATCCTACAAATGTCACAAAGCCAGAACTTTGGTTTTGTCATGAATTTAAATATATATTTTTTCAATTATAATTTTATTTTTAACCTGTTTGATTAGATCTAGGATGCTTCCTTAAAGTGTTCACACAGTTTCTGTCGTGTCATGTCCTCAGTGTCTCATTTAATACCCCCATTAGCTTAAAAATGTATCACAGGGGCTTAAACTGCATGATAAAAGAACTTCATGGCTTTTTAATCTTTCAGTGGCTCTGGTATAAATAAATCAAGAAGTGTCTTCATGCTCACACAGTCTTAGGCTGGACATGAACATTTTCTGAACACAGAAGTCAAGTTTTAATAAATTAAAAATGTGACTCTTACTGGAGTCGGGATGGGCAAAGAAGAATAAGACTTTTAATTCTTAAACCTTCTTACATTATGTCACATTACAGTGTTTTGGTCTGTCTTCATGTGATAGATATGTTTGATAGTTATTTTTTTAACATTCTTAAAATATGAAAAATGTAGGGTGCATGTGAGTCCCATCTTTGTTGATAGGATGATAGTAAGCGGAATAACTCTTGAGACCTTTCAATTGAAAACCCCAATTTGAGAGCTGAGCATCATGAATCATATTTGTTATCGTCTATTTGCTGAAGCACTTTGAGATTTTTATCTTAAAAAATGTAATATAAATAAAGTTTTACTTACATATTTGAAAGGATTGTTTAGCCGAGGTCAGTGGTAAAATATAAAAGATGTTTTCTGTCAGCATAACGAATTGTGACAAGATTGCAGAGGGCCAAGAGTTTAAAAGCCTGTGAACTGGAGTTGAATTTCCTTTCTGAAACCATATAGTTCTAATGTAATTGAAGAAATGGTGTCAAATGGATATTGAGGAGGAAGGAATCATGTTTTAAGTGAAATTAGGGAAGGTTCATAAAGATAAATCTGAGATTACCATCCTGACAAGCCATTATCAGAAAATTAACTTTATATAAATGTAGAAATGAAGATTGCTAAGTAAGGACTCATACTCTCTTGTAATGATTTGATGACTCTTAACTTCAGATTTTAAGTTAGAACTGCAAACTTCAATGTACTTTTCTCTGATTTTACATGAAAAAGTCATGCTTGTTTGAGAAATAAAATATCTTCACATGATTTTACAAATAAACATTTTTAGCTTGCAGTTCCATGCAGCTCATTTTTAGCTTATTTCTCAGTTTATTTAACTTAACATCATAAATGTCAGTACTACATCAGAATAACAAGCTCATACCTGTGATTTGATTCCTTACAGATACATACTGATATGCCCATTAGTCATGAATATGAATTAGTAGAAAACCATTTATAATCAGTTGCTTAGACTAACTTTTTTTTTTTTTTTGCCAATTTTTGTTTGTCAGTTATTCTCAGTATATTTTTCAACTGAAGCGGCACAAAAAAATGGCAGCACACAAATGCAAGTCTGCTTACTCAGCCTAATATTCCCAGCAGGCCTTTGTATCAACCTCTAAGCACCTAAAATGTGTTATAGGATACAGTAATTGCTACAGTCTAGACACAAATTACTTCTCTAATGGACGGCCAAATTAAGAAAAAGTAAACAGACTGCATGTTCCCAAACAGCACTTTGGGTAAGTATTGCAATTCAGTCCAGAGTATGTCTTAGAAAACCACAGTGACATGGAACCTTGTCGAAAAAAAAAAAAAAAAACGTGATGGA